TGTTTGAATGTGGTACTAATACTCTTCAGCAGTGGACATGCATGACCACAAAAAAATAAGATCCTAGATTGATTAAAGTTAGACCTTAACATAGTTGGGTGCTGTTTTAGTGATCGAGAGGCTAAGTGTCCACGCACTAGACCAAAGGTCCTGGATCCGGGAGTACTGTTTGCAGAGTCCTGGACGCGCACTACTGAGCAAAAGCAAGAAGTAAATGGAGTACCAACAGGAAGGAAATGAAGCAACGGCACGAATGGAAGAAGGCTGGAGCGTTGGAAGTCACGACTCAAAGATGGTGTGCAAATAGAGTATTCAATGTAATGTTTTCGTTTTTAATTGACTAAGAGTGTAAATTTGATAAATACAATCTACCGCGCCTGCCTCAGTCTTCTCACTAGGACCAAAGAGCTATCCCAGCACTTCCAAGTTTTCAATGGCCATTTAGCTAAACTAAAAAGTGAATGGTTTAAAACTGAAAATTCTACATTCTCCACAAACCATTTATCCTAGTTAGTCACTTAGTAAATATGTCATTCATAATGTTGTAAAGAGGTAAGTCATTCATATTTATAATTTCGCATATATGTAAAACCTTAATTGAAATGAAATTCACTAGTAATGAGTATGTCACTAATTATTATATAAAAAGTGACTTAAGTAATTTAAAAAATCACATAGCCATCTCTTATTGAGCTATATACTTGTGTGTACGAGATTGTTGAGAGAGAGATAATCAGTTAGTAAAACAGATTTTGAGTTAAAAGTCAAAAGTTTGGAGAAAAAAAAACAGTAATCAAATTCATTGATATTTAGTGAACCAATCAGAAGTGACCTAATGAGAAAAGGTCATTTGATGATCGCAACAAAACAAAAATTCTAAAGGACGAATACATATAATTGGTCAAAAAGTGGCCTTCTTTTCTAAGGAGATGGAATATATATATATATATATATATATATATATATATATATATATATATATACCTGAGAGTTTATATTTTCCACCGATTATAGTTCAATCATTTTTATCGATGACAACGCAATTTGCATAATAGAGTTGTGAAGATTTTTGAGTTACTTTTTAAAATCATGAATCGACTAATGTGAGATCACCCTCAGAAACCTGGAAGCAATGGACTGCCGTTTCGTCTTGGTATGGGACTCATCAGCAATGCCAATCCCAGACTCACGCTACCGACAGGATTTTAAGGCAGGACCTACGGTCTTGAGAGAGAAAGTCTAACCTCTGTACCACCGAGACAGCGGCATCCAACGGCGTTAGTGTCTAACTTGCTCAACCTCACCCACTGGCTTCGGTAGTTACTGCCTACGCTCGATAGAGTTGAACTCCACTGGCCACGACCTCTCACTTCCTGACGGAGCTAGTAACCAGTGACCACATAATAATTTGCACTGCTGATGAGTACCATACTTAGACAGAACGGCTGACCAGTGTTTCCAGGTTTCTAATGGTGGTCTAACACAATTATTTTTTCCTCGTATTTCTTACAGATATTTGTTCAATACAATATAATGAGCAGTATGGAAGCTTCAAATGACACATGAATGAGTCTGATCATATATTATTCTTTCTTCTCCCAATCTATCTATCTTACATAAAAAACAATGGATTTGTAACATGCGTCTGACTAAACATCAATGAGCAGCCAAACGCCATGACATTTCTTCCCTTTAACAGACAACTATGGACATATTGCACTCAATTGGAACAATGTTGAAATACTGAATGGAGGGAGTACCAGATGAACACCATAGAATTGTTGAGAAGCTTGGCACTCACCTCAACCAGCATTCAACAAACACATCCTCATTGACCCAATTTATCAACCAATCAGAAGAAAACTCATAGACAAACATAGGATCAACGGGGAGATACAGTCAAATTAAAGATGCAAACAACGACAGGTTCAAGGTCAATAACAACCAATCAGGATCGAGGTTAACAGAACAAGCTACGAGTCATACACATGGAGAAATTTGAATACTTCACTTTTTCTACCGGACGTTTTAGCTGATGCTGTTGTTGTTGTTGTTCAGAAGGAAACAATCAAAAGCTCCCTCAATCACAAAACGTCCAGCTCAGGGAATGAAACTTTATCACAGTTAACTTTAACAAAAAATCATGAAAACAAGAGCAAGTTTAAACAAACACAAAAAAACACTAGGAAGGATCAACATACAATCTAAATGATAAGGATACCAATCTATAGACAATGTAGTCATATTAATTCGTATTGATCCATTCGGAACAATGTTTGAATTGAGGTGAATTTCTAGAAGAGAATAAAAATAAAATAAATAAATTTTGTTGTAACTAATTTCTGATATAATTACAATTTGAAATGCTACAAATTATGCGGTTTGATAAATGAGTTAAACTCAAATCAAAAATTTGTGTTTCTCAATGGCAAGCACAAAAAAAAGTTACTTCAATATCTATAGAAGAAAACACTGAATATGAGTTTCATGTTGGTTGGAACATGTCTGTGTCAGTAAGGTATGTATATTTGTAATGATGGTTTCTATGATATTCGAAACTATTGTAATCTAGTGCTTTTGTCAGACATGTTCGAAACTGAGCTATTTTCAAGCTACGATTGATCGCCTTGTATCGCACTGAGATAAATTGCCTTGTAGTGAGTGCTTTGAGCCCATAGGGCTTTTGGCCAAATTAGCTAATCCATTCAGCCCGAGTTATAATTTGCTAGCCTTTTGAACTTGTCAACTATTCACTTTTATCTTGGTTGTTGTGATGAATCTTACTCCAATTTAATGCAGCCACACATAAAGCGGTGATGCCGACGACGAACATAAAGTAGCGACTAAAAAACCTATTATCGACCGATGAGTCTTGGACTGGCATGATGCCTGGATCAAAGTCTTCTTATAGACTGCCTTTAACGGTGTACCATCAAAACAGATTGTAAATGATGGTCATACTGTAGTGAAGGAGAACACAGGTGAGGGTAACCGAATTGTATTTAACGAAAATTACAGAGTTACTCAGTAAAATCGGAAAACCATATCGTAAGTCGGTTATTTGCAAAATATCAGTTCATCATATCGAACTGGACTGTTCCTGTTGCAAAACATCAATCCTTTGTCACTATTCATGTGTTTCATACAAATTCCATTGTGTTCTTCTAACTCTTCCTCCTTTCTTGATCTTCCCCCATCTTCTGCTGCCAGACATTACGTTTACACTCACGTCATATACTACTTATAAGTAGCGCGCACCACAATACCACCAAAAAAATACTGGATGATTTGCATTTTCATTCTCAAACTAATTATTAATCCGTAGTCCATTAACAGTATCATTCTCCTCTTCACTTTTTGTTTTATTATGTAACAGCTTTTTGAAATAAATTAACCGAATCGATAATTCTGTTTGGAATACCACAATCACAATCAAAATTTTCAATAGCAAGACATTTTAAAGACCATTGACAAGGTATGAACTTTTGCTTTCCAAGGTTATTTATTTATTCACAAGTGACATATACAAATCAACTGTACGCTATTGAATTAACTTTTATTTAGAGATAGTAAGTAAATGTCTTTGTTTTTTTGTTATGAGTCAAGAACGGTTGAAGTTATTCATGGCTTACCTTCCAACATAATTGCCAAAAAAATATCAAAGTAAACTTTTTTTATAGCGCGTAACATCGGAAATACTGTGTGAGATAGTTATCTAACAAAGACAGTGGATGAGATGGTGGTTGGGACATGTGTTGCGTATGACTAACCACCGACTGCCTCGACGAGCTATGTTTTGTGGTGTAGGAGTAGTTTGAAAGAAAGTTAGGGGCGGCCAAACAGAAACATGGCAGAAATCCATGAAGTCATTGACTAGTGGACTGAGTCATGTTGAAAGATGTAGACTACCTGATTGGGGTCCGCGAGACGAAAGTCACCAATGGTTAGAGACCTTGAACGACATGGCTCAAAATCGTTTGCAATGGCGCAAGTGCATCCATTCGTTGTGAGCTCTCTCAAATCCTAATCTTCTGGATTCGTCAGCACCTCTACCTTTGTCTTTCTAACCTTATCTCACTGAATTATACTTCTTGAATAATATCTTCAAACCCTAGTCTTCTTCATTACCATTAATACCTCTACTACCTTTATCACTATGGGATTTGATTTGACATTTGCGTCTCTGTGCTAATGTGGTATGGCAACATGAACTTATGTACATACGTACGAAGTTCTACGTTGCAACTGACTGACTGATGGATGAGATCACGCAACACAGTGGATTGATTAAAGTTAAACATTAACATTTTTAGATGCTGGTCCAGTCGTCTAGAGGTTAAGTGTTCGTGCGTTAGACCGAAAGTAGTGAGTTTGATTTCGCGTGCGGAGTTGTGGATGTACACTACTGAACAGTCCTATTCTAGGACGAAACAGTGGTCCAATACTTCCTCATCTGTAATGTTGGTCTAATAATGATCGATTCGTGATCTAAATGAAACTTAATAGTCTTCATAGCTTTCAATACTGATGAAACTACTGTCAACACATACACGCACACGCACACGCACACACACACACAGATATACATGAACAAGTGACAATTTTACAAAGTAAATTCACTAACTTTCTTTAGTTTCATCACAAAAGTGTAATTCTGTTCGATTAATCATCAAATGATACGATGTTTCTAATATATCATATTGATGAAACATTTTCACAATATTTACATAATCCTCGGTGTATTTAATATGAGAATTTTGTCCAACTGCTACTGTAGATTGAATATTACTATTAGTAGTAGTATAATGAAAAGTATTGTTGTTATTACCAATATGATTATTATTATTATTATTCACCAAAGACTGCGTTTCAGGCGATGAAACCAAATTGGCAGTTTGCCGCTAAATGAAAAGAAACAACAACAACAAAAAATTTGAAATTCACAATTTCAATGATACTACTACTACTACTATTATTACTATTATTAGTAGTAGTACAATGATAATCTGAGGACTGTGAGTAGAGTTAGTCGTAGAGATAAGAGAGACATTAGGGGGTGTAGGAAGGATTTGATTTTGACCACTTTGGTCTCGCGTGCTGTTACGGGTATGAGGGCGGTTGTCACTTCCCGGCTGCCCACACCGTGGAAGGTTGTTTCTAGAGGGACCTGAAAAGGAAGATGGATTAGCGTTGGTGCGTGACCGCAGAGCCCAAGGGACAACTGCTTGAGGCCGGTCACGCACGGCCTTTTTATGAAAGCTATTTAGAGGATTAGCTCCGTTCTTAAAGGCCCTAGTTGTGGGCACCCTTACCCAAGGAGACGGAAATCCGTGAGTTAGGGGAGGTGTGACATTTTTAGGGTCGACATTTTCTAACCCTTCCTTCCTTGTGAGAAGGCAGCATCGCTGCAGATGCAGGTTGTCCGAGGGAAACACCTTACTGCTGTCACACCCCTCTGCAGTCAGTCAGCAGTACGACTTCGCCCTCAGACCTTGGGTAGCTTAGCTGCTTTTAGTCTCATCGTTCTCCAATCGACCTGCCTGGCATGGTAGGACCTGCAGGAACATATGTTCCAGCCAGTATAGCTCGGTTGGGTCATGACGATAGGCAAGCCCGACCACCACGTCAAGGTAGCAGCTTCGGTCGGGACAATGATAATCTGTTTAAAGGAAATATTTTATAAGGTCGATAAATTTCTAAAATAAAATACACCTGTACTGATTGATCATGACAGGATAGTCAAAAGTGAAATTTTTTTATTGGATGTTTTATGACCTTGGCCTATCTATCATCTTTCATTGGTCCTCACATGTGATATGGGGTTATGTGACACAATCTAGTATACTTGTGTCAACTGAGATTTGGAAGACCGATCATTAACGAATTCAACAATTAATCGAAAACACATATAGGCGAACAATGTTGACTTTATATTGATATCCCGACCGAAGCTGCTACCTTGACGTGGTGGTCGGGCTTGCCTATCGTCATGACCCAACCGAGCTATACTGGCTGGAACATATGTTCCTGCAGGTCCTACCATGCCAGGCAGGTCGATTGGAGAACGATGAGACTAAAAGCAGCTAAGCTACCCAAGGTCTGAGGGCGAAGTCGTACTGCTGACTGACTGCAGAGGGGTGTGACAGCAGTAAGGTGTTTCCCTCGGACAACCAGCATCTGCAGCGATGCTGCCTTCTCACAAGGAAGGAAGGGTTAGAAAAGGTCGACCCTAAAAATGTCACACCTCCCCTAACTCACGGATTTCCGTCTCCTTGGGTAAGGGTGCCCACTAAGGGCCTTTAAGAACGGAGCTAATCCTCTAAATAGCTTTCATAAAAAGGCCGTGCGTGACCGGCCTCAAGCAGTTGTCCCTTGGGCTCTGCGGTAACGCACCAACACTAATCCATCTTCCTTTTCAGGCCCCTCAAGAAACAACCTTCCACGGTGTGGGCAGCCGGGAAGTGACAACCGCCCTCATACCCATAACAGCACGCGAGACCAAATTGATCAAAATCAAATCCTTCCTACACCCCCTCATGTCTCTCTTATCTCTACGACTAACTGTACTCACACTCCCTTTTCTCACTGCACCGCTAATGCAGACGAAGCGAGATCACGAAACGTCGTTCCTGGTCTCCTGAAACCCCGTTCTAGACTACATGTTGGAGCTTTTAATGTACGGACATTGTGTCAAATAGGGCAACAGGCATCATTAGCTAGGACTTTAGAAATTCGTGCCATCGATGTATGCTGCGTCTCGGAAACGCGCATACAGGATCCTAGTAAAATTATTAACCTGATTCCACCTTGTCAAAACGAAGAAGCAGCCCGATTCACTCTTCGTGTATCCGGTAGCCCTGATGCTGCTTCCCGGGGTCTTGCTGGCGTAGGCATAGCGTTAAGTCATAGGGCAGAATTATCTCTCCTAGACTGGATCCCAGTAGATAGTCGTTTGTGCGCTGTCCGACTAAACGGGACAGTAAGGACTCGGAAAGATAGGGACAATCGCCGTTGCCTCTTCATCGTATCTGCCTATGCCCCCACTGAATGCAGTTCAGACGAGGTTAAAGATGAGTTTTACAGAAAGCTTTCGGACCTCCTCCAAAAAGCTAGGCGCTCTGATATAGTAATAATGGCTGGTGACTTTAATGCTCAAGTAGGTAGACTAGGTGAAAAGGAAAGACATCTTGGTGGATGTTATGGTGTAGCGACTTAGAGAACAGACAATGGCGACCGTCTGTTGCAACTATGCTCAGATAACCGACTATTCTTAGCGAACACTAACTTTAGGCATAAGGAAAAGCATCTGTTGACCTGGCGACCTCCGAAGTCGTCTCAACGTTGGACTCAACTAGATCACATCGCCATCAGCCAACGATGGAGAGGTTCGATAGAAGACTGCCGCTCGTTCTGGGGCACATGTTTGGATTCAGATCATGCTCTAATGCGAGCTCGTAACTGTTTAAGGCTTACTGGACGTAGGGAAGACACCATAAGAAAGCCTCTTAGGGTTTTACTTAATGATAATCAAACTAACAAAATATTTCAGGAGCGACTAGAAACAGAGTTAAGCAACCATGTAAGCGATTTCCATCCAGGAGCAGGTTGGTATGTTATCAAGAATGCTGTGGAAACAGCAGTGATATCTGCTAGTAAGGTTGACCATAAGGCTAGAATGAAATCGTGGATCTCAGTAGCATCCACCAACCTGATGGATGCCCGAAAACTCATCCCACCTGGCTCTGAACATGATGAAGATTGAAGTCAGCTTAGGCGCAGACTTATAAAAAGCCTACGTAACGATCGCGAACAGTGGTGGGTGGCGAAAGCAAAAGCGATGGAAAAGGCAGCGGCGATAGGCAACAGTAGACAACTTTTCCAACTTATCAAGGAAACTGGTATTAGGAATCCTAGTGTAAGTGAGACTATCTCGGAAAAGGATGGTCTTATTATCCATTCTCAATCCAGGAGATTGGACCAATGGGCAGAACACTTTAGGGATCAGTTCAACTGGCCTCGAGCCACTCTTCAGTTACCCACGATCTCCAGTCATCCTGAATGGCAAATCGACGTAAGTTCCCCTAGTCTTAATGAAGTTGAGAAAGCGTTAGGAAATATGAAGCGAGGACGAGCTGCGGGTCCTGATAGACTGACCCCTGAGATATTTAAGGATGGTGGTCCAGTTTTAGCAACTAGGTTGACTGAGATCTTAGGTAGAATCTGGGAACTGGACGTAATCCCATCCGACTGGTCTCAATCACTGATTGTCCCAATCTATAAGAAAGGACAGAAGTCATCTTGTGACAATCACAGGGGAATAAGTCTAACTAATATAGTATCTAAAATTTTGACCTCAATAATACTTCGATGCTTAACGAAAGCTCGTGAAGAGCAGAGTAGGGAAAACCAATCTGGATTTCGACCTGGTCGTGGTTGCATAGACCACATTTTCACACTACGACAGGTCCTGGAACACAGACACACATATAAGCGTCCTACAATAGTTGTTTTCCTGGACCTTAAGGCGGCATTTGACTCTGTGGATCGTGAGGTTCTCTGGCAGTGTCTGTCATTGAAAGGTGTACCAAATAAGTACATTAACCTCATACAAGCTCTCTACTCAAACACCACTGATCGAGTGAGGGCTTATGGCAAACTGTCACCGGAATTCTCTACTTCAAGTGGTGTCACTCAGGGATGTCCACTTTCTCCATTCTTGTTTAGTTTTGTCATAGACATGCTCCTAGATATAACCTTATCCTCGTCTGAATTTTCTGGAGTAGACCTTTTACCAGGTGGCTCGCTTATTGACTTAGAATATGCCGATGACATAGACCTACTTGGTGAAGACGCTGACAAAATGCAGAGTCTTCTGACTACCATAAGCAACAATGCAAGCATGTTCGGGATGCAATTCCCCACACTCGAAATGCAAAATGTTGCTTCAAGACTGGGTTGCATCGGCACCTGAACTAGTGATAGGGAGTGAAGTAGTCGAGCGTGTAGACCGCTTCACTTACCTCGGGAGTCTCATCAGTGCCGATGGCCTGGTGACTGACGAAATCTCAGCACGGATACAGAAGGCTCGATTGGCTTTTGCCAACCTGCGTCACTTATGGCGAAGGCGAGATATCCGTTTGCTGACTAAAGGACGAGTGTACTGTGCACCAGTTCGCTCGGTTCTCCTATATGGCTGTGAAACATGGCCAGTGAGAGTAGAAGATATTCGTAGGTTATTGGTTTTCGATCATAGGTGTCTTCGAAGCATTGCTCGTATATCGTGGGACAACAGAGTAAGCAATGCTGTCGTTAGGAAACGAGTACTAGGTAAGGATGGCAGATCAATAGACGCAGTAGTGACACTTCATCAGTTGAGGTGGTTAGGACATGTCTTGCGTATGCCTAACCAGCGACTGCCTCGACGAACTTTGTTTTGTTGTGTAGGAGTAGGTTGGAAGAGAGTTAGGGGCGGCCAAACCAAAACATGGCAGAAATCCATGAAGTCATTGACGAGTGAACTTAGCCATGTCGGTAATTGTCGACTACCTGGTTGGTGTCCGCGAGATGATAATAATCGATGGTTAGAAACCTTGAATCACATGGCTCAAAATCGTTCGCAATGGCGCCGGTGCATTTATTCTTTGTGTTCTCTCAAATCCTAACTTTCTGGATTCTTCAACACCTCTAGTTTTGACTTTCTAAACTTTTCTCATTAAATCATACTTCTTGAATAATATCTTCTAATCCTAAACGGATCACGACAATTATTTTGACGTAT